AGACCTGGGTCCAGCCAGCGTCTGAGCACTCAGGATGAGCTGGTGTGCTAAGGTAGAGAGGTGAGCTCTGTCCTTGAGGAAGCTTTAGTCTCACTAGTGGAGTGTGGTGGAAGGTTCTGGTCTCCCAATACTGACTTGTGTAGCACCCACTTCAGGTGCCTGTTAGATGCAGAGCTTTTCCCCTCATGTTGATAAACCATGTGTGAATGTAATCCAGATGATTGCAACTAAAGGGAGTTGACCGCCTGTTTATACTGAGCATATGGTCAAAACCAAATCAAAACTACTTGGCTAAAGTGTTTAATCGTTGGTGTGAATCACATGAAGGATGTTTTTAAATGTCATATAAATTGAAGATCCAGTAATGGCAAAGGGCCTGGAGTTGACGAGACTCCAGGGATGGACTCACACTGAAGAGCATTTCAGGACACAAGTTAAGACTTGATAGGTCTTAAAAAAAAAATAGGGGACATGAAGTTGTGGGAAAGTGGGTAATAAGGTAAAGGTGGAGATTGGGGGGAGGGTCTGAATATGATCAAAATATATGAAGTTCTCAAAAAATCAAAGCAAAAACAAACCAAAACCCAGAACTTTGGGGTCCTATCCAGGTAATTTAGCCCACACCGCAGTTGCACTTACTGTTTTGTAGCAATAAAAGCATGAAAGCGGGGAATCCGGCCTGCGTTCCGCCCCAGGCGGAGGGCCCTATTGGGCTGGGAAAACTACTATTCCCGGCATGCTCGGTCCTTGGTGCGCCTGCCTACCAGAGCAACCTTGCCAAAGAGCGGGTTGGTTTAAAGCGCTGTTTTAGTTCCATGGAAACAGACCTGCTTGCAGCTCGGTGGAGCTACCTGCTGATGGATGGATTAGGGGTGAGACTGCCGGAACCGGTAGGGGAAGCCCAGGTGCATATGGAAACTACAATGTGCAGACCAGTCCTGTAGGGCTGGGAAAACTACTATTCCCGGCATACTCGGTCCTTGGTGCGCCTGCCTACCAGAGCAACCTTGCCAAAGAGCGGGTTGGTTTAAAGCGCTGTTTAGTTCCATGGAAACAGACCTGCTTGCAGCTCGGTGGAGCTACCTGCTGATGGATGGATTAGGGGTGAGACTGCCGGAACCGGTAGGGGAAGCCCAGGTGCATATGGAAACTACAATGTGCAGACCAGTCCTGTCTCCAACCCACATCAATGCTACAGCCTCTGAAACAGTCACAGTACTTCAGACCAGTCCTGTCTCCAACCCACATCAATGCTACAGCCTCTGAAACAGTCACAGTACTTCAGACCAGTCCTGTCTCCAACCCACATCAATGCTACAGCCTCTGAAACAGTCACAGTACTTCAGACCAGTCCTGTCTCCAACCCACATCAATGCTACAGCCTCTGAAACAGTCACAGTACTTCAGACCAGTCCTGTCTCCAACCCACATCAATGCTACAGCCTCTGAAACAGTCACAGTACTTCAGACCAGTCCTGTCTCCAACCCACATCAATGCTACAGCCTCTGAAACAGTCACAGTACTTCAGCAGAGGATGAGAAGAGGTGAAGAACAGACCAGTTCTGAGAGATGATCGAATAATGTTGGGCTATGGTGACAAAAGAGATCAGTTGGAAGCTTCAAACTATTTAGAAGACCTCACCAGCCAGAAAGTCATCAGTCCTATCCCAAGTGAAGTGACTTGTCCCAAAAATAAAGACATTTTATGGAAAAACTGTGAGTTTCTGGTAAACCGAATGTGTCATTTGGAAAGCCTCATCCAGTCCTTAAAGATGAACATCTTTCATCTACGAACTGGAAAGGAACTAAATCCACAGAAAACAGCCTTCCTGAAGGATCAGCTGAACACAATACAGGAGGAGCATTCCAAGGACCTGAAGCTGTTGCACCTTGAAGTGATAAATTTGTGCCAGCAACTGAAAGATGTCAAAGAGGAAGAAGACAAGGCCCAAGATGAAGTGCAGAGGTTGACTGCCACTCTGGAAATAGCCTGAGACAAAGAAGAAAGCAGCTATTATTGAAGAGGAGCTTTAGCGACCGCGAAAGGTAAAACGAACCTTAAAATTCAGGAGCTAAGGAGACAGTTGGCTCAGGAGAAGAATTTCAGGGACTCTCTTGAGAAATCTGCATCTTCCATGCTACTCAAAATACAAGAAATGGGGTCAACAGTGGAGGCAGAACGGAAACAGGCACATCCTCTGCAGCAGAACTGTATTGCCCTGCGCAGTTCTATACAGACCACCCAGGAGCTTCTGGCACAGGAGCAACAGAAGAATGGAGAGTTGGAGATGGCTACCTCACAGCTCAAATCTGACCTAATTTCCAGAGATGACCTCATTTGCAAGTTGGTTGAAGAAAATAAGAGCGTGCAAATGTCTTTCAACAAGGAACATGAAGAAAACACATATTTGAAATCTGAAATGACATCCCTTCATGATGTATCAGAAAAAGCACAGGTTTTGAATGACCACCTGACCAGAAAGTGTTCAGAGCTAAGCAGCACGCTTCAGACTGTTAAAATGGAAAATGCCAGAGTTATTGCTGAACATCATGCCGTTCTGCAAGTGGAGCAAAAAATGGTAAGAGACATTTCAAGAGCAAAATTTACTATTAG